CCAGCAGAGGGGACTAGCTGATCCAAGGGTCCTTTCCCAGACTTCTTTAGATGTAAAACACAGCAAAGCTATGAGATTATGTGGTGCAGTAGCTACTTAAGATAATAATTTCAGAAGATAAAACTGAATGGACCTTGGAGTTCTGTTGTTGTTTTAGCCTTCTGCATACTATGAAATGCAGTTCAAAATAGTTACTAGTGGTAGTGGATTTTGCTTTTTGTGTTTTTTTTTTTTCTTTTTTTTTTTATGATGAACATTTCAGGAGCTGAAATTTGTACTGGGAGTCTACCTTCTGAGCTCCTGGTATTTTATTTCTTTCGTGAAGGGCTGCTTGGACGATTGGTGGCTTTAAGTGCATTGAAGCAGGCAACAGATAAAATCTCTGTAGCTAGTCTCTTCTGCAAAGAGGTAATTCTGATAAGTAAGATGACAAGTAGAAATCCAGTGTTTTAAATAATGTTTGTATTGTGCCATGTGAGGTACACAGTGCTGATGTACACAGGAAAGCACTGGATGAAATAGGTGGCATAATGAATAAAATGGAAGACTTCAACAGATAACAGATACATAGTTCCTCATTTTTGTGTGTGTTTGGTTTTTGTTGTTCTTTCTTGGTGGGAGCTTCTGTTGCAAGATAGAATACCTACTAGGTGACATTTTAAGCCAAATGGCATTGTCGTGAATAATGGTTAAAAAGAGTGGGAGGAATCAGTCAAAAGAAAAGCGTATTTCCCTTCCCAATTATTTTAAGTATTATTTAATTTAGCCCTTTATTTCCTACTGTCCTTCCAGGAGCCTTTAGGGTTATACAAGCAGAGCTGAAAAAGCATGAAACATTACAGCAACAGGATGGATTAATGAGATTTGTTTTACTTCTCATTGAGGTTTACTGCAGGTCTGGTTTCAGTCAGAGGGAAGGTGTACTTCACTGGTTTTATTACCTACTTGGCTTATAAATTCCTTCAAACAGTGCTAGGCGTAATAGTAAGTAGCCTGATTAGTCCCACTGAGGTCATGAGATTACTCATAATCATAAGTGCTGATTTCAGTGGTGCTTGGAACGTGCTGTTAATGTGTGAATTCCTCGAGCAGGTGGTCGTCTTTTCATTTCTTGTACAGAACTGAGCACGTATTTAGGGCCAAAATCGGGGCCATTAAATTTGTCAGTCTGCCTTGTCAATAGAGAAACTGAGCACCTCTAAGTCATCAGATTAGAAACTGAGGCCTACAAAAGGCTCAGCACAGGGAGCCAGTTAGAACAGCCACAGTAGGCGACTGGACTTTGGTGGTGTTTCTTTCAGCAAGTGATACGTACGCCAGTGGCCGTTTAGTCTGCAGGGAATGGCATACTTTTGATGGCAATGTAGTTTAGACTGATATAATTGAGCGTAGGCAGGGCAGGTTTAATTGAAAGGTTTTAAATGCACATTTGGAATTTTTGGATGGACATCACATGCATTTATGAGCAAGCGTGGCTCTTTCATATAGAAATGCATGAAAGGAGCTATCTTTTTGTTTGAAAGCGTCAGTTGTAGCTAGACAGAAGGCTGAGAGACAGAATGAGACAGAATAGCTGAGGCTGGCTTGATTAGAGAGTGTTGTACTTTAAGATCATCGTTTTGAATAGCATGGTGAAAAATATATGTTAAAAGATAAATTACTATATTTCCCTTATCATCCCAGACACTAGGAAGAACTAAGGGCACTCTGAATACTTTGGCACTGCCTTGAGCCTTTCATCAGACGTGGTCTCCTTTCTTTAGATACTCTCACAGTGTGCACGTGATGGCTGTCAGAGAGCATTAAGACTGTAGTTATTCTTTCTAATAATGAGAAGTTGAAAAATCGTAGTTGGATGCAAGTTTCACCGAGTCCTTGCACAGTGCTCTGAATTTGTCTTTCTGGCTCCTGTATCTGGGTTACCTATTGGGTTGATACCCATCCTCAAATAACATTTGCACATACGGTATGTTTAGAAATGCTGCTGTGACTGAAGGACATTAAATTTTTCCACTCCCTGGCTGAGCTGCAGTAAGGAGGGGTAAGATGATGCTTATTTCCTCATCCCTCATGCAAGTTCAAGAGGAAGCGACCTCTGGGCTGTGAACCACTGAGTCCATGCTACTGGTGACTGGGGTGGTAGCACCGTGAACGTGCAGCTGTGGGCTGTTGTCCTTCAGATAGGCATCTTAATTATGGGTCTTCTGGCATGTTGAAAAAGCACCTGTAGAGGATGGTGAGGAGCTAGCTAAGTGAGAACTTTGTAGACTACTCAAATGGTAAAAACAGTTTTCCTTAGCAGAGGTGCTCATAGTGTGGGAACTTATGCTTGTGAAGCGCAATATTTGGGCCTCCCTTTTGGTATTTCCTTCTGTGAACATGAATCTTGACCTGGTTTTGACTTGTTCTTTGGAATGAGTTGAATATGTGAGAAGGGAGTCTTTATAGTCTTGTCTGTAAGCAATTTGTCCTTGACTTGATCGAGGACAAATTTGGGATTAATGGTACTCTTGTTACCTGATATGGATTGGTACCCATTCACAATGTTAAGGTGAGACATGCAAAAAGTGTGTGCCAAGAGATGCAGAAAGCAACTTCTTTTTTTTAATCAGCAAAGGCCACTCCAGAGTCTCAATCTTCCTATATCTATATAAAACTAATAAGCAAAGGTGCAAATATGACTGAAAATGCTGTTAAAAAAGAAAAAAAATAAAAGGTCATAAAATAATATCTGGCTCACTTTCTGCTCCATAATTGTAACTTTCCTGTTTTCTTTTCAAATTTTGAAACCTAGGAAACCTAAATAAATATCTCTTATTATAATTTTGTACAAGCTTTTAGATTTGCTGTGAGTTGCAAACACAGGAATCCATGATACAGCTATCTGTGGGGACTGATGAATTAATCCTTTTCAAGTTTAATAGAAAAGTGCCAGTGGCATGCAGTTTGCTCGAGAAGGTAAACATCTATTCTGTAATTCACAATGTGATTAAAACAATTATTCTTTATCATTAAAGTTCATAATATGCACATTAACCTCTGATGTACTTTAAATCAATATTGCAGTTTGGAAGATGTGACCCCTGGGCAGCTTTGTCTAAATATTGATTTCATTGTCATTTGTATAAGGTGTGAAACAAATTACATGCCTTTCTAATATCATTAATGTAGCCCCACTGAGCTACTGAGTTTATGGCTTATAATACATGACATAACATTGTGGAATTATTGAGGACACTGTGAGATACAATTGCTTAGTGTGCTAGATTTGCTCCTGGAAGGCCAAGGCTGCCACTCAGTGACTTTCAAACACTTTGGTGGCCAAGGAAAACCCAGAGACAAGGATGAGCCACTCCGTAGTTTGCAGCTTGGCCGTGGCCTTTCATTAGGCAAAGTTCCCTTGGCTTCTGAGAGCAGCAATTTATTCCACAGTGTTGTACTAATTTATTTGCAGCCTTTAAATGAAAACAATACGTACACCTGTATTCTGTGCCAAAGACGAAGGTAAGCAGGCGTGAAAGGCAGGCAGGTTGGGAGAGACATCATTGTGCTCTACTTAAATTTCCCTGTGAGGTTCGTGGGAGTCCAAGAGTTTTGGTTTGCTAATAGCTAGGATACAAAGTGATGGATACAGCACCAGGTCATACTTGGCAGTTGGTGGTGGAAGTTAAAAATGGAAAAAGGAGGGAGACCATCTCTCTGTGCTCCCAAGTAACTATAGCTATCATTACTGGCCTGATTCGAAGTATCAGTTATTTGCTCCATACTGAGTTTCTTTTCTTTGTTGGCTTTTGCAAATATATTCTCATGGTTCCCCTTGTCCTCATGTCTTCTTTTGTAGTTCTTCCTCATGTCTTCCTCACCACACTTTCTTTTTCCTTTCAGTATATTTTAGGGTTTCACAGAGTCTTGTCCTTTATCCCTTCACTCCTCTGTTTATGCAAGTAAACTGCTCCTAGGCCTGAGACTCGCACATCTGTTTCCTTTCTTCTTTCCAAACGTGAATCTTGGACTTGTGAATATCAGAGAGACATCTAGATGGAACTTTTCAGTCTTACCCCTCAGCTTTTTGCCCATCTTTTTCTCTTGCCATCTGTTTGATATCTACACACTGTTATTTTTTGTCATTGGATACAAGTTCGTTATTTCCTATGTGGAGAGTCACCCCCACCAATTTTCCCCATTTTCATTTTTTAATAAAACAAGCAAACTTCCATCTCTAGTCTAGTGATACCACTTTCCTTATCTATATGACACATTTCCAAAGCAATACCTTCATGCTTTTTTTTTCTGTGGTGATTTTCAGTCTGAGGGACCTTCTTGTAAATACGTGTTAAGTTGTGCTGCAGTTGAGAGATCTCAACAGTATTCGAGCTTCTGCTTCGCCGAGGCAGCAGCCCATTTTTCCACCTGAAATTGTCTCACTGTTTAATTGTCCTTTTCCATTTTCTGTGGTCTTAGGCATTTGTGTGATGCTATACGGCATCATTTTTATGATAAAGCATTTTGATTTGGGGGAGAGGTTTGCAAGCACTAAACATATAGGGATAGTAATCTTTGAGTATCATAGGTGTGATATTTTTACAGATACTGTGGAATAATATGCTTCCTGCATTTCAAAGTGCTTTAATGATGTGATCATTACAATCAATATAAGATTGGCACCATTCAGGCTAAGTTCTTATAGTTGCTTCAGTAGTGTGCTTAACTGTTTCCATCAGAGTAGTCTGTTTGTTCTTTTTTTTTTTTCTTTTCTTCTTTATTTCCCCCAAAGATGCACTTTTAGTGAAGAGTGTTAATAGATTACAAAGATGAACAATCTGTTATTTAGAATATAATGCAGACTGTTGGACTTCTCTGAATTATTCTTTTTTTTTTTTTTTTTTTTTTGTGAATTACAATGTAGCTTAGAAGAAAAAAAAAGTCTAACTTTGATTTAAAACTTGCCCATGGTGCGCTTTGTCAGTTCATAAATTTTATTCTGAATTCTCTTTTTACAGGTAAAAGTGATCCGTTTTGTGTAGTTGAATTGAATAATGACAGACTGCTGACGCATACTGTCTACAAGAACCTCAATCCTGAATGGAACAAAATCTTCACGTTGTACGTGTTTGGGTTTTGTGGGCCTTTCCTTTTTTTCCTTTGTGAAGGGGTTGTGTATGCAAATCAAAGATACCTCCTGCTAATTCACAAGAACTAAATGTACTAGTATTTCTAAACCAACTAGCTGAATATTTTTGAAGGGATTCAGTAAATTCAAAAAAAAAATAGGTAATAGCTATTTTTTTAAGACTGGTTTTAAAGACTGGAAATGAGAAGTGCTGAAATTACAAGTGCTGAGCCTTCCAAAATCCTGCTAGCTTCAACGAGCATTTCAACTGCTCATCACAGTGGATGAGCTCCTAACGTTTTTGGGGGGAGAACATATACAGGGGTTATGAACGTCATTAAAATGTGATCATTAGTTTTAATGAAATTTAGTGAAATATATAAAATAGCTTATAGCCATTATATTTTTTCTAAATTGTATTCCTTATATTTTGCACTTTCCATTTGCCAACTGCAATTCTCACAGCACCACTCAGTATCATAATAGTGCAGTGCTGCTATCGGGTGAAAAACAACCGTAAGCATTCAGTTTATGGGGAAGTGACACAGTCATTTTTTCATTCTGACCAAATAGAAAAATAACTCGGCCATGAATGTACCTTTTATTTCTTTTTCACTCATCTCTGTTTTCCTCCGCTTCCGTCTGATTGCAATGTGACAGCAGTGAGGTGAAAGCTGATCAGCTGTAGGTTTCTCTGCTGCTGAAATGAACTAACTGTCCACCATGAAACTAGCAAAAGTTTTAGCTTTGTGTATTTTTCACTTGGTGATAAATGAGAATATTATGCTGTACTCTTGATCCTTGAACAGCGTCTGAAACCACCCCACACACCTTTGTCCCCTGCTTGACTGCAGGATGTGTTCGGCACAGCTTCCCTGCCCTGCACTGGGCTCACAGGAATGAATTCAGAACAAAAGAAAAATCCCACTACAATTGTATTTGTCATTAGCCTCTTATCACAGTTCCCATCTATGTACCTGCAAAAACATAACAAAACCTTCATTAATTTTCTTTTAATTAGCTGCTAAGAGAGGCAGTAACTCATCAACCTCTGCAGCTGGACAGTGTTCTCTGCATAAGGAACTGCAGGGTTCTGCAGAGGAGAGAAGACTAACAAGAAATCAAATGGAAGAAAGACTTTTGAGGAAAGTTTTCCCCTCCTTAATTCATATACCTGCATTCACTACTTTTCTTATCCAGAAATTTGTCAAGTAATTTTGGGCTGGAAATGCAGTTTCACGCAGGGATATAGAGGTTTTACTGGAGTTGGATTTTTTTGCTTCAATTCTTTCTTTTTTTTTTTTTTTTTTTTTTTTTACTAAAAATGAGCTCTCTCAAAACAACTTTTCTCTCAACAACTTCCATGAATATGGAAGGTAAAATTTTCACTCATGACTTGACAGTATATGGGTGACATTTGACTTTTCTTGGAGATTTTTGGAGAGCTGATGCTCACCCTGAGGGATGTGCTCATGTAGTTGGTAGCTCTTTTCACATACAGACCCAGATACCCCCGGATTGCAGCCAGATTTACCCTGAGGGTGGCAGTGTCTAAGGGACAGGCCATAATGGCCCTGGGCCCTGCTGCTCAACTCCATGAATCCTGTAGTGCTCCGGGCTGGCTCTGCCTGTGGCTGGTACAGCACAGCACCAGGTAGCCAGAGGACTTAAAGAAAGAGCGTCTGGAAACTTGGGCATTTGGTTATACTGAGGATCACCTTATATACTTTTGTTCTCTGTTGTGGCTTGAGAAAACACGGGGGTGTCTGTTTTTGCTAACCTTTAATGCTTTTGTCCTTGATCGCTGCTGCTGTAGGTGACTCTCCCTTCTTTTTTCCCCCCCCCCTTTTTTTTTTTAATCTCCTCCCCTCGTCTCTTCTGTGCGCCCCTTTCTGTCCGTAGCAATATCAAAGACATCCACTCGGTTCTCGAGGTGACAGTTTACGACGAGGACCGCGATCGGAGCGCCGACTTCCTGGGCAAAGTTGCCATACCGCTGCTGTCCGTGAGTCCCCTTCACCTGCCACACTGCCGCTCCGTGCTTTCCCCGCCGGAGAAGGAGGCGGTGGGAAGCAGCGGGGGGACTGCCGCTCCGTTGCCTGTCATTTCTCCACCAAGGGCTGTAATAAGAACACTAAAAAATTTTAACATACTCAATTCCCGGCCATGTTGAATCCCATGATAGTTAATTTTTCCTGACAGACCGGGTCCTGGTAATGAACAGGTACTTGTCAGACTTGCCACAGTTGTTTTGGGTTCTCTGTCAGTTCCAGCAGCTGGGGGTCAGGGGTCGGCGCGGGGGGGTATTCAGCGGAGACCGCCAGACAGACGGCTGTCATGTCCTTTTCCTGCAGATTCAAAATGGTGAACAGAAAGCCTACGTCTTGAAAAACAAGCAGCTGACAGGGCCAACAAAGGGGGTCATCTATCTTGAAATAGATGTGATTTTTAATGCTGTAAGTCTTAACTTTGCCTTTTTTTGTACCACTTAAAGAGTTCCCTTCCATGAAAGCTTTTGTTCCCCGTTTGTAGGGAATTTCTGTCACCCCTCATTCTTTTTTTTTCCCCCCGCTAAGCGGTGCGGTCTGCTCAGGCGCGCTGCCCTGCGCGGCCCGGCTCGGTGCCTCTGAGGCCGCCGCCGCTGCTCCTGCCCCACGGGTGCCCGCCCCTCGGCAGCCGGCTCCCTAAAACTCCCTCATTTTGGCCAACGGAATTGCTCAGTGCTGGGAAGTAACGGCCTGCGATACTCACATGCGTTTCAATGCATAGGTGAAAGCCAGCATACGAACCCTAATGCCCAAAGAGCAGAAGTACATTGAAGAGGAACACAGACTGTCCAAACAGGTAAAGGAAAGGGCAAGGGAACACTCATCCTTTTGGAAATGTCCTTAATTTCGAGTGCGCACATCTCAGTAGCTCCTATCAAGATGTAGGAGGTAAAGAATAATGTTTCCCTCACCTGTTTGCATTAAAAAAAAAAAAAAAAAAAAAAAAAAAAAGGCATGATACCTCGGAAAAGGTAGAAACAAAATACAGGGGCTTATTCTATCTCCTCTTTATAAATTGCAGCTTGATTTCCATGAAATATGTGAATAAGAGCACAGTTGAAACCCTCAGGTTCCACACGTATCAGGTGATAGCACAGGTGCATGTAAACCAAGTCTTGCATAAATTTTTGCTGTTAACCTTGACCTGAAAGATCTCTCTTTCTTTTTTTTTTTTTTTTTTTTTTCCTCCAAGAGTAGATGATCTTGCAGCATTCCTTTAGCCAAATTTTAAATGAGTTGAGCAAGATTTGAATCTCAGATGGAGGAAAAAAAAAAAAACAAAAACAGATTGCTTACTCTTTGGAGAACCACCTGCGTTGAAAGTCTGTGGAACCTCACTCATTTTTTTTATTTTTTTTTTTTCCCCCCTAGGTATTTTTGCCTCTTTTATTTTTTTCTTTTTATTTTGATTCTAAGAAAAAAAATATTTAAACACACTTCTCCATTTTTTTCTCCCCTTAATTTTGATGCATTTTTTTACATCCCATGACTGAAGTATTTTATCTAGGGGTAACCGGGTTTCTGACTGTACTGTGGGAGTAGGATTTTTGTTCAGCTCGCTGCAAAGGCAGAAATCTTAAAACTTCTTCTTGTTTTTGCAGCACTCTTGTAGAAGTAGCAATGAACCTTTGAACGTGAGCATAATTCAGATCAACTGCTGGATGAATTTTATTTACATTGCCCGATTTATTTCATTGCAAAGATTTCAGGCAGAATGCAGCTTCCTTTATGGCTGCGAGTAAAGGAGTTGCTAAAGCTGCATTTTTCACCCTTGTTCCAACCACAAAACAAGAAGGCCTTTTCTTCAAGAATTCTTCTTCTCCCTGCTTTCATAGCAGAAAACGGCATTGTGCCTCCTTGCAGATGGCAAGAGCCATAAACTTTAAATAGCCACTTTTCTTTCTTTTCTTTATTCTTTTTTTTTTTTTTTTTTTGATATTAGCTTGTATAGAATATCCCCTCCTAAGCCCACTTAGACTAAGAAAAGGGATCTTTACAGATGGCTGATGCAGCAGTGTACTAAAATAGCCACATTTTCTGGGAATTACCAGTTGTCTTACCTAGCTAGCATTGCATGTGCTGTCCAGGACACAAATGATTCACTGATTTGTTCACTTCTTTTTTTTAATTGAATTGAAGTTTATTGCCACTTTGGAGGATTTAAGAGTATTCTTCCAAAATTTGTCAACTCATTTTACCAGTTAAGGATATAAATGCATTGTTTGCTCCATCTTTACCCAGAGTGGCAATATTGTTAAGCATGACCCTCTTGTGAGCCTTTAGGGATTTTAAAATATTTTCATTTTTTTCATCTTTTTCGTAGCTGCTGTTAAGAAACTTTATCCGCATGAAGCGTTGTGTCATGGTGCTCATAAATGCTGCCTATTATGTTAACAGCTGCTTTGACTGGGATTCACCCCCAAGAAGTCTCGCTGCTTTTTTGGTATGATCTTTTAACACTTGTTTTTCTTATAGTGTCATCAAAATGTCTATGTGTTCTAGAATGAGAAATAATCCAGTTTGGATCTGTTGAGGGAGGGAGGAAGGGGAAGCTATTTGTTTTATTTATTTGCTTTACGAAGCTATTTCAAATCTTTATTCATATTAAAAAAAGAAGGTTTAAAATGTTCGAGGAAGAAGAACAAAAAAACTGCTTTGCTTTATAGTAAGATATTAGTGAGGTAAAGGTAATAAGGTAAGTGTGTGATACAGTTGACAAATCATGGATACATCTTCATCTTCTTACACATTGTAGTTGCTACCTTGCTGACGTATGTTTGATTAAGAAACAAACAAAAAATCTAGAAATTCTAAGTGTCATTGAACTGGTAGGCTTTTAAATGTCAACATGTCAACTTTTGGTCATAGCTCAATATTTTGGGATTTAAAATAAAATACTAATTCTCCACAAACATTAGCTTATTTATATTAGTCCTTTTAATTATAGTGATATTTGGAAAATTTCCAGCTTAATCACAGATTGGATTTTCCAGGTAAGCTACATTTTACATTCAGAATGATGTGCACTGCAGAGAAGGCCACTGTTGCTATTTGGTTTTTGCTTGTGTGCCTTTCGCCATGAGAAAAAACACCCTTGCTGGAACATCTACATATATGAAGTTGGCAGAAATACTGAAGTGTAGAGCATATCTACCATATATGTGGCCAGCAGACTGTGGTTTGGGGGATTTACAGTGGGAGCCTAGTGATCGTGCTCCTAGCTGAGGTGCCTGGGGTTTGGAGAAGTCACAGCAGCCGTTGGAGCTGCCTTTGCAGCAAAATCCGGGTGCTTTGGACCTTCAGCTCCTTGGCAGGGAGCTTTTCCCAGCAGGGCCTAATTTGTACCAAGTGACAGGTTAAACTTCTCACAGCCTGTCAAAAGATAGCAGCAAGTTTTCAAGCAACGGATACCTATGGTGTTCGTCGAGAGTACAGGGGATATACTTGCTGCTCAAATGGTGCCTTTATTTTTTTTCATCCTCCTTTTATTGAAATGTTGATATCTCTACTTACTTGATTTTCTGCAAAAATGTAAATACACTTGCTGACGTTTACTTTAGAGGGATGGTCTCTTTCATCTGTGTTTCTAGTCATGTTTTTGCATGTTTCCACATATGTTTCTGCTCAAATGTCCATACTGCTTTTACTGCACAGATGAGTAAGTCCTCATCTGTCCAGTTCTGTTTTCAATGCGGCTGTGAAACACCTGTTATCAGTGGGAAGAAGGGAGGTGCAGTGACATCCTGTGCTTTGTGGCAAGTGAAATGGTTTCTTTCATTAAGCCATGGTGCCATTAAATCATAATTGTTCTGATCATAGAACAAATGCAGAGTCATAACAAATACTTGCAAATAGGTAATGCAGAACTTTTGGGGGCCATAGCAGATATACTTCATTACTGTAGTTACAGTGCGTTGAAGCAGAAGCCTGTTTCTAATTGCATGAATTTAGGTCTGCTTTTGTTTTTAATAGTTTCCTCTTGATAACAGTTTTGCTCCGGGGTAGTTACGGATGCTTTATGTCAGCCTCGGGGCTGTGCCTGCCTGCCAAAGAGAAGGTTTGGCCCGTGCTTCAGTTTGGCGTTTGGCGTCCTTTCCAAAAATCAGAGCATCCCTCTCTCCAACAAACTGTTTGTAGCCCGAGTTTTTGTTAGCTAAGCCAAAGCTGCATGAACTTCTACTGTGGTTGCCCAGACAGCAAAAATTTGGATTTAGATGATTTCTAGAGTTTCGTAGCTGTAGTGTGTCCCTGGAACATCCTGCATCTTTTTTGCAATATGTGCATGTCTAATGCTGACTTATGCTGGTACTAAGGTTATGCTGGAATTCAGTAGGCTCTGTGAAAGCATTGAATATCTATGTATCTTTTTCATCTCTTCACTGTTACACAAATGGAGCTGCTTCTTGAAGTTGTCTCCCAGAGATTACAGAATGTCACAGTGAAGTGTCAGTGCCAGAAAGGAGAGCAGAAAGAGGCCCTTATGTAGGTTTCCAGCTCTGTAGGCAGACTAATAAATAATGTAGTAGTGAAAAACTTTTCAGTTAGCCATTTCTTCTTTCCTGGTGGGCTTAAAGATGCACATTCAATGGTATCATAATGCCAATTTATGGGCATTTCACATAATATGGGGTTGTTTTTTCTGATCTTATATTGCCCTCCCATACCAAACCATTGGTACCCTTCTCCCTTTTTCTCTTGCTTCACCTCATGTCTTCACTTCTCAGCGTACCACTCTGTAAAGATGAGCGCACTGTATTAAGAAACAGCTACCTGCTTTGTGCCTTGCATATTGAAATGCTCTACTTAAGGTCACCCTTCTTAAGTAGTCTCAACATTGATCTAAAAAGATATACTTTATTAAAGTTTTATCATGGTGTCTCTTCCCCCCCTTCCCCGCCAAAGATATCAAAAGGTACCAGCTCAACCACTGGCGTTACATGTTCTGTCTGGAGATCTAGGAGTTAAGTTTGTGGATTTCTGATAAAGCATTTCCTGGACTAAACAGTATGTGATGAGTCTGTGTTGTATTTTGTAACCTCATTGCCTTCACTGAGATTTTGTCTGAGGGACTTAAGGTTTTGACTTTTTTTTTTCTCTTTACCTCATTAATTCTCAGTAGAAGAATAATTGCTGCCCAAACGTAATTTCTTATAGGATGGCTTTGAGATTATGGTGACACTTATATTATTAAGGCATTATTTTTCAGGTATTCCAAAGCATTTGTAAATAACTTGTGAAACCTAGGGGTCGATTCTGGCTAGAGTGATGTGACCTTGCATCTAAAATGCCAGGAAACTTGATATTCTGTCCCTCCCTTTTGTTTGTATCTCTTCTTTTCTGATAAATAACAGCTATGAATAGCAACAATGTTAAATTAACATTTTAGTTCCCAAACTGCATTTTATTTTTTTTTTTCATCTTAAGTAGCCCTGTTCTGCCTAGAGGCTGATAAAGAAAATGTAACCTCTTTGTGATTATACTTCTTAAGCATCTAAACACAGTGAAAAGAACAGAAAATATATAGAGAGAGAACATTTGCTGTAAATTCATTTGATTTGATGTATTTGAAGCAGTTTTTAAGCAATTTTAATATTTTTTTCACTTTTTTTCTTAGTTTGGTAATATGATATGCTTCATGCGTAAGAACTGTGCTAGAGTATGCAAAAGTGTCCTTTTTTTTTTTTCTCTCTCCTTCATATTAATCGACTGTGGGCACTGAAATGTCTGGTAAATTGGGCCTAATTTCCATCAGCCTCTTGACCAGACATTTGTGTTCTTGCAGATGTCAGTGGGTGCAATGTAGCGGGGGGGGAAGTGTATGCTCTCTTTTCCAGTACTGTCATTTCTCACTGTAATGAGCACAAAAATAATTGGACAACCGAGCTATCAGTAAAAGGACACACTTCAACGTGAGTCAATGAATTATTTTACGGGACAAACTTTAATCTTTAAATGTGATTGTAGATAATTTGTGCTACCATCTGTCCATTTGGAATTCTTTTAGCCTTTTCAGTCGTTATACAGTAAGTGCTGCTGTGTTTAACATTAACATTTGATATTTTACACATTTAATTTCTGTACTGCTGCGTGGTCCTTGGGGAGCTTCGCTCTAGTGCTACATGAGAGAGACAAAGTATTGATCAGTTAACATTTCAGCTACATTTATGTATGTCGCAAAATTAATGAAAATGCCAGACAAAAATGTCAGAGTGCACAAAAAGGTAGAATTTAAATTTGGTAGTTTAATGAAAAGTTTAAGATGTGCATTATCAAAAATGTCCCCTTGCCTTTAAAGTACAATTCATAACTGAATAACTAAAGGGAGCCACATATTTTACTTAGAGGAACATTGAACATGACATATGAGGGAATATGCAATCTTCAAAGTATTTGGTGTCCCAAAATGGCCTCAGTAAAGCACTTTAATTGCCTGCTTGAACATTTAAATGTTACTCATAAAATAAACTTGTTTCTTTTCTTGTTTGGAAGCAAAGTACCTTTGTCCGATCAGACATGTATTTTTCAGAGCATTTCCTCAAGGTAAAGCTTTCTGTAACACATTCTTCTTTCCCTGTTATTATTATTATTCCTCTCAATCTTTCTATAGCTGTGTATTTTTGTATACAGAAAATATTTTTCTTTCTTGGGCTTTGAAATATTGATAAAATGACTCAACCCTACATCCAAGTCATTTGTCAGGTCTAACTCACCTTCACTTTGTCTTCTGATGTTACACAATTCATGTGTGAATATGGCATAATAGTCTCCCAGCCTTTGATTAAGTGTTGGTTCTCTTCTATATATATGCCATTTAGAAGTGGTGTGATGTTAATTAATCAGAACCAAAAAGGAAGGAAAAGTAAGAATAAAAAGATGGTCTTGTGTATGAAACATTAACTTTTTTTTTTAAAAACATTGACGGGTGAAGTATTTGGCGAGTGAGTTGATAGGGCAACATAAGGAGTGAGAATGTGCTAATATGCTCATTAATTATTGTGCAAAATGTGGGATGACAAGAATTCTGCAGGTATTTTGCAAGTGTGTTTAAGAGCTCATAGGTATTTCCATCGGCAATGCCATTTTTGAGGGGATGACATAAACGTCTTTGAATTGCTTTTTACTAAAGCTGCCTGAGGCAGTCCATCAGATCAAATGTGATCCATCCTTGCCACCTGTTGCCCAGAATTTTAAATTGGAGGAGGTGCTGTTACAGTGGCTGCAAAAACCTAAAATCCTAAAAAAAGCCCTTCCAGAAATTCCTGTTGTTGTCAATACTCTCAGCTCTCAAAAGAGAGCTTTGCAAAGGCAGAGTGACAAGGCAGGGGCAAAGCCAGGTACAAAATTCATTTCTGATGCAAGGCACGCACAGCACAAGGGTCTTTCAGCTTTTTGTCAGCTGCATCTTCATCAACCAGAAAGAGATGAGCTATGCCAGGCTGTTGT